TTTCCAGAAACTGAGGGATGGTGAAGAGACAGATGGAAGCATCCAGAAAATGAGGCCTCCTCCACCCCCTTCCAGGCCCTCCCCCCTCCTCTTCTAATCACAATATTGGACAACTTATGCTCATCACGGGAAAATCAATGTGCGAGCAACACATGCTCCTTTGCTCCAGGGCTGGGCTCCCTTAGGCCCTCTTTTCGATTTATTTATAATCTGACTTGGAAGTAAAAAGGCAAAGCTGTCCTTGGAGACCGCTTGGCTCATGCGCTCCACGTTCTAGCATCGCCTCAGCTGTGCAGCGCGGGGCCGGGGCAGAGATACCAGCCAAGCCGCGTCTGCTTGGCTCTCCCTGGCCCCTCGGAAGTAAAGGCTGGTTCCGGTGTGGGCTTCCTCGGGGCTCCTCTTTCACACAGATGCCGTGAAACATCACCTTCCCAGCCAGCTGCCCAGCCAGCCAATAAAGGGCACAGCCCCATGTGCTGGCGGGCCGGTGCGCGCTCTGCTCTGTGCTGCATCCCAGCTTCCTCACACATGTTGTGTGTGTGAGCGGCACAGACTGTCACCCACCAAAGTCATCCAGAGCCCGGTCATACACATGGACTCACGTGGAGGAGCGTGTTTCAAAGCCAGTTACTGCCTTTCCCTCTTACAGAGTCTTAGTGAGCGTGCTTGTCCTTTTTACTTCTATTTTTGTTCCCATATGTGATGGAGGGCCAACTTGAAAAAAAATGCTCAAAACAACAGGGATTCTTTAAATATATGAGTCAAAATTGCCTACAGAATCACGCACACGTGTGCATGTACACACACACACACACACACACACATATACACACAGGGCAGAGGTATGGGTGCTGCAACAGGAATGTTGAGAGTCTAGGCATCCTCACACCCCGCCTAATAAAAGAAGAAGAAAAGCCTCTTTTATCCTTTTGTTTCTTTTACGAACTGCCGTGCTGAGGAGAATTATAATTGGGGAAAAAGGTTGGTGTTGGCCTAGCTGATAAAAGTGACCTTTCGCCAGCCAGTTCTTGATGTTTTTCTGACGCCGGCACCGAGGGAGCCTATCTGGAAGGCAAGCGGCATTTTTTTATTTTATTTTTTGCTATTCAAGGTGACATTATGCCTTGAACCTTTTCCATTTGGCAGGTGCCAGGAAGCTGACAGAAAAGAATCTTCAACCAGTTATGCAACCATTCTCCGCTCAGTACATGAGCGCAGGGAGCGGCTGATTAAAAACCAGCCTGTGAGGACCCACTCTGAGCCAGCGGCCGTGCTGGGCCCTGGGACCCACGGGCAGCAGGACAGACGTGCTCTCTGGCCTCCTGTGAAGTTGGACAGTGAGCCGTCATTACAGATGGGGCCAGGCCCCACGGAGCTGGCTCCCAGCGCCTATGGCAGGGGCTGTCATCTAAGGGAGCATCTGAGGTCAGCTGAGACATGATGGGGGGAGGGGCTCCCTAGGAAGAGGGGGAGAGCTTCCTGCAGAGAGAGAGCAGTCAGATAGGAGCAGCTCGGCCGGAAAGAGGCCCATGTGGGAGTCAGTGTGGAGATGGCAGAGTGAGGTGAGAAGAAACCAGGGAGAAATGCAAGGCCGGCACCTGCTCTGCTGAAGCATCTGGTACTGTCTCCTAAGAAGCATGGGTGTCATTAAAGGCTGAAAGCCCAGGCAGGGCCACACTCGCAGCTTGGCTACTGTGTGGACGATGGACAGTGGAGTGTGAGTGACAGCTGAGAGCCCAGGGAGGGGGACTGCGATGGGCCAGCAGGAGTCAGTGGCGGCCTGAACTCGGGTGACACAGTGGGATGGGAACGGGAGGCTTTAGAAGGTGGAATGGGTGGAACTTGGAGATGGATTTGATGAAGTGGTGGGCGAGGGAGAGGAAGGAGCGGGTGACTCAGCTCCCGGACAGTGATGCCTTCACCGGGACAGAGGCCCTAGAGGGGAGGCCGGAGGAGACGAGGGCAGAGCCCGGGGCTGGTGTGGGGCAGTTGGGAGTGAGCCACCTGGGAGACATCAGAGGAGAGGCCAGGAGGGCGGTGCCCGGGGAAGTGAGCAGAGGGTCTGGTGGAGACACACGTGTGAGCCTCGGCAACGGGCCACGTGAGGCCGTGGGGCAGAACAACTGTCAGCAAGGGCAGAGGGCCAGGAGGGAGCCCTGCGTCCCACCCGCCAGGGGGCTGCTGCTGGCCGAGAGCCGGGAGATGAGGGGGATCAGGACAGGCGGTGCTGGTCAAGCCAGGGAAGGAGCGCCTCTCAGGAAGGCGGGATTGGCAACTGCGCTGAAGGCCGCTGAGAGGTATCTTTCTGAAAAAAAACCTGACTCTTGTCACTCTCTCTCTTTTTTAATTGGTTATGTCCTTTTATTTATTTTTAAAGCCTCATTAAACTGAAAATAATAAATATGTATTTTTCCTGCTGTCTAAAGTTTAGTGGTTTCTCATATATATTCTTTTTTGTACCTTATTTTTATTGTTGACACTATTACAGATGTCCCCTTTTCCCCCTCCTCTGCCCACCTCCACCCAGGTCCTGCCCCACTTCCCTCTGGCCATCACCTCACTGGTTGTCTGTGTCTTTGGCTAATCTCTTCCCTCTCTTGATTATAAATCTCACCACTGCCTCCAAGGAAGAGTCTAAACTCCTTATCCTGAGATACCAGGCCTCTCACACACCACTGCCAACCTACCCCCTGTCGCATCTCCTGACTTCTCCTCTGCCATCGAGTCTGCACGGTGGCCATGTTGACATAGCCCCGGTCCACGCTGGTAGGCGGCGTCCTTTGCCTCTCCAGCATTCATGCTCCTGTGTGTCAGGTTTGTCGGGAGATCTGCCCCACTCCTACCCCCTTCAGTCCACGGGGCTTTGGGGTCACGGCTGCAGCCTTTGGTGTGGGGCAGGTGGTAGGACAACCCTGATGAATGTGTTACCCTCCCTGACAGTGACTGGTTGAGGGAGGGGACGGGTAACATGATTAAGCATATCTGATCGGAGTGAACCTCATGGAGGTTCTGGGGCAAAGGCTCATTTCCTCTCCGGTGGATCGGCATCTGTGAGGATATTGCCCCAGGAGTGAAGGAGCATTTGGGGACCATGGAGAGGAGCTGATCTGAGGACATGGCCAACACATGGAAGAGAGCAGAGACCCTGGCTCTGGAGACACTGCTTGAGTCCCTGAGGTAAGCCAGGCCAGAAGCCAGAAGGAACCTGCGAACCAATGAATGCCCTTTCCTTTTTATTTTTGCTTAGGGTCAGGTTTCCTGTGACTTATAACAGAATTGTGTCCGTGAATCCTAACTAATAGAAACATAATATTCCCGTCACTTAGAATATGTCCCTGCTCCTCCATCGGAACGTTTAACTGTGCTTCTAAGTGCGGCTTCCCTGGCTCCTCTGAGCAGTCATCCTCCCCCCTCCCCCCCACCAACCCGCCTGCCCCCCATCGTCCCTCAGAGCCTGGCATTGTCACCCGCCCACTGTGGTTCACACATATGGTTCCCCAGCAGCCTCAGGCCAGGGATCATGTCTTCTTCACTTTTGTATCCCTAATCTCACACATAATCTGGTGCAAAAGAATCACCTATCAAATGTTTTCTGAATGACTGAATGAATGAATGAAAAATTATAAGCAGAAGCTCAATATCAAGATATAAGAAGATACCGATGAAAGCAAAAGAATGGTTAGATGAATGCTTAAAGCAATAAAAAATTAGAGTACATCATCTCTAGTACTGGCCAAGCGCACTTCCAAAATGTCATTATTTTAATTATGGAAATGACTTCTCAAAATAAATAAATAAATAAATAAATAAATAAATAAATAAATAAAGCCCGGCCCTTGCTCCCAGATGGAATAAACTCATTTAGCTGTTACATGAGAACAACTTCACAGAATCTGGTATTTGCAGCTTATTAGGCCAGGTTGACAGGTTTCTCCTTAATTATTTTAAACGTGCATCCTCTGTAGAATTTCATTCCAAACCTGAACAGCCCCTGGCACCTAAAGATCAGGTTCCATAGCTCAGGCCTGATCCTTGGTCCGGCTGATAAAACGAATGAATGAATGCTGGAGAGGCAAAGGACACCACCCACCAGTGTGGACAGGCCTGGCTACGCTAGGTCGTCCTTAGCTATCTATGGAAAACATCCAGAGCAAGCCATCGTTACCATGGTAACAGAGCCGGAAAGGAAAGGTTGGCTGTCATGGACAAGATGAGGATTGCATACAGGAGGCACCCACAAGCCAAGGAAACATGAGGCTCCTTCGTTAAGTATGGCTACTCAACACTCAGTGCTGAAAACAGTTGTCAACACACCCAATGGAGAAATACCATATGCAGACGCCCATTGGTCCTGGTCTCGAATGAGGCTAACCCAGATGAAAACGTTCCTGCGGCCTGGCTAACACAGGCTGTTGGTATTTTTTAAAAGGAGTGTTTTACAAATTAAGTTTGGCTTTAGCTCCTAATTGAATTTAAAGTTAATTGAACAGGAGAGAGATACCTCTAAACATAAATATTGTGAAGACAGCGGTTCCCTCCCGGCACTCACCACCTCCCACTACATACATACGCCAGAATGAAACCCACCGACCCCCTGAAGGACGCAGCATGTGCTCAGTGTATTATGCTATGTAATTCATGCTTTGGGTTTGAAATGCTTATTCATAAAACTGCACAAAAACTTTATTTTTTTATGACAGATTTCTAATGATCCAACTACCAGCTTCAAAATTAAAGGAGGCTTATGGATATTAATCACTCTGTTAATCTGATGGCAACTGGGGCTTTCAAAGATGTTTTATCTGTTTTTCTTGCTTGGAAGTCTAGGAGGGACCATGAGTTTAGGCTCTTTGTTATTTTTGTCAATAATTAATTGCCAGAACCAAAAGTATTCACGCAAGACCAGTGCACAGAATATAGGAACCCAGTGCAGAGCAAGGAGGAAAAAAACCAAACGAACAGCAGAAAAGAGCTCTACAGGATAGCTACGCTGGCGGTACCTTATTTGATTTTCCTTGTTGTTCTCCAGGAAGAACCAGCAAAACTTCACAGCCAGTGGGCTGCAGTTGGTGATGGGAACGTAGCGGATCACCTCGGTGTCGTTCAGGATACAGCCAAAGTCCAGGTCCATGGTCTCAAAGGACAGGTTGGGGTAATGCACTTCCCCACGCAGGTTCAGGCTGTCTACCTGAGGGTGCTCCAGGTACCTGATGGCTAGAGTTTCTTCTGCCACCCAGTTGTTCAAATCGCATTTGTGGGTCGGGTCAAACTTGACCAGCAGATTTTTTTCTTCACCAATCTCCAGTTTAATAGGCTGCAAATCAGATTATGGGAAATTACCAACCTTTGTACTATGCATTTCCAACCTGATACATGAAACAGGATGGCCAAAGTTATTTAAATATATTTATGTACATACATACACACATTCGTATTACTATTTGTGTATATATATATATATATATATATATATATATATATATCACACTTTATTTGTCCATAATTAGGTATCCACACTTACACATGATTAAATAGCTAGTATATCTATATTGATATCAATAGTCACCTATATTTATTGATATTATAGATCTCTATATGTTTGTGCATACATATTTTATTCATTGAAAATGAAACTAAGGAAAATCTGGAGAGGGAATTATTTGAGGGAAGAGATTTTGCTAAGAGTTGTGAGGTTATAAAGTTTGAGGAGTTGTAAAAAGGAAAATCTACAATGAATAGCCATTATAAAAATATTCTTAACTGAAAGTAAAGTAGATTGTAGAATGCTCTTCCTAGACAAGTGGGGAAAGTTCTTTGTTAAGAATTCCAGAAAGGCTTACTAAAGCGCAGTGGGAGGGGCTCTGTAGAGGATGACATGGAAAGGGTCGGATTGGGCGATTTAATTTCTCCTCTGATGTCTGCGATCCTAAATCCTCAGCACAGTGTCATCTACTTTCTGCTGTTTTCTGGTCAACTTAAAACGGCACACTCCAGGGCTGTACTGCGTTTGCTGGGTATATTTCCCTTGTTCTTTTTGTCTTTGATTCAAATCCCCATGGGTTCCTTGATGCCAAGGCCACAGTCACACCTTCCCATAGAAAGCCTGGCTATGAGTTGGCTTTTTTTTTTTTTTTTTAGGATTCACTCAATTCCCACATTTAACCGGCATAAAAGCCACCTCCTGGTTTTGCAGAAAGTGCCGGAGGTAGTTGGGAGGAATGTACACAGGGCGAATCTGTTTACAGAGCTCTCACCTCTCCACTGAGTTTTAAGCTTCAGTTATTTAACGGTGCGCATCGGTGCCACGATTAGATGGTTCCAGGTGATACTGCCAATCACCGGATCCAAGAGTCAAAGAGAGGGTAACGGCTCTTCAGTTGGCTAATCCCATCTGAAAGCCTGGCTGGCCGCTTGGCACAGCTGGCTGGGCACAATGTAGACCACAAGGTAGACAATGCATCTGCAGCACTTGGTACCTCCATGCTTGGGGTTTAAGTATCTTTGAAGATGGACTTAAACACCTCCCCCGCCCCCCCAGAGAAAGACTTTTTTGTTTTATGGAAAAGATACATATCCACAAAATTTTACATTATATATAAAAGTGCGAAGAAGAGATTAGAAACTTATCCAAAATTTCACCATATATTATTTCTCAGAGTTCATATTTGATACACATTAGTCCAGACATAATGGATGGCTAATAAAATTTTGCAAAAATAGTTAGATTCTTTTATTTCAAAATATCATGTTTGAAATTTTTTTTCTCAGAAAGAAGCCTGAAAGAACTGTTATACAAGAGAGATTAATCCTAAAATCATGGACCCTGGAGCCTGATTGCTTGGCATCAAATCCTGGCCTGCCGGTTACTAGCTCTATGAATTTGGGCAATGTTAGTTGGTTTTCCTAGACCTCAGTTTCTCCATCTGTAAAATGGGGTCAATAACAGGACCTACCTCTTTTTAAGAGGATGAAATGAGTCAGTATACATGTGATGTCTTCAGAGCAGCGCTTACGGTCTATAAATGCCAAATATTACTATTATTGTTACCCCTTTATGATCAAGTAAAAATACAGTTGAATATTAAACAGTTTCATCTTTAGATAGTATCTTCTTGACACCTAGCTGTAAAGGGGATGAAGCCAGCTTATGCTTACCCCACTTCCCAGCTGTTACTGGTTGTAGTGTTAATTGTAAAAAGCCAACCTATGTATATGCCCTGACCAGGAATCGAACTCACAACCTTTTTGGTGTACGGGCAATTGCTCCACCCAACTGAGCCACCCAGGCAGGTCTGGGCATTTAAAATTCTGATAGCTACTGCCATATTGTCTTCCAATGTACACTTCACCAACACTGTAGGGGAACCCATGTTTCCATGTGCCCTTCTTAATACCAAGCACTACCCAATTTTTGTTCTTTGCCAATCTGATAGGGGGGAATTGTGTTTTGTAGTCATTTTAATTTGCATTTCTTCTACTATGATTAAAATTGAGCATATTTTCATATACTTAAGAGCCATTTTCTTTTTCTTTTTGGGAGCTCTCTGTTCATTTCCTTTGCCTAATTTTCCATTGGGTTATTGGTAGTTTTCTTATTGATTTATAGAAGTTGTTCATTTTTTAAAGTGCATGTATGTTTTAATTATAGTCATACATGCAAATAATATAAAAGGTCAAACTGTACTACAAGTTATGACAAGAAACAGTAGTTCCTGACCCACCCTGGCCTCCCAACAATCCGGAGGTCGCCATTTCTCAATTCTTGTGGTAGGGCTGGTCTACAGAACCGTTTCTGGGCAGAGAGGGGACGATCAGGCAGTGGACACATCCCAGATACCTGGGATTACTCTGGGGTGCTGACACTGACACGAGAAACATTAACTTTCCCCAAACATTCTGATCGATGGCTCCGGGGAAGAGCACTTACCTTTATGTCTCCAGATAAAAACCAGCTGCCCATGTCTTTTGTGTGGGGTTGGGTGGGACAGCTGTTCGGTGTACATGGAATCCTTCTATTTTCAACACTCTGCTCACACGTGTTGCCTCTGCGCCCAGGCTACTGGGCTAAGTGACTACCACATGTTCGCAGCCTCTCTGGAAAATTTTCCAGCCTGCAGGTTTTTGTGGCTTTTTGTCAGCCCACTCCATTGTCATTCTAGTGTCTAGAATTTGCTTAAATCTCTCAATATCTGGTTACACCATCCTCTTCCCCCTTCATCTTATTGCTCTGGGCTTCGTTCATTTTGAACATTTCTACTTTTATCTTACTAAGATTTCAGGAGGGACAGGAGTGTGTCTGATCTACCACCCAGAATGAGAACGCCGCTCATGTCCGAATTTTCATTTTCTCATCCGCTTGTCTTCCTCGGCTCTGTGAGTTCACGCTGCATCTCTTTGAACACTTGTGTCTCATCCTTGAGCTCCTTTTAAAGACTGGTCATGCCATCTGTAATTTCTCTGAGGCTGTAGAGAATCACATGTTTATACTTTGGGTCTTCTTCCTTGCCTAGGTCTCCTTGTAGTAGAGTTTCATCTGCCTCTTGCTTATGATCATTTTCTCCTTTTCTCTCTGTTCAAGGATCTTAGCTTGTTTTTCCCCCAGCTCATGCTGGAATGAGATTCACTGAAGAATTGGTGGGAAGGGGCAGGGGAGGGCAGCAGGGCAGTTAACCGCCACAAGTAAGGTACGATCTGCAAGCAGCTCTGTTCCTCACTCCCCCAACCCTCCATCCCCCTCTGTGTGGCTCATAGCAATCTCAAGTCTCCCTGTTTGGAGATCTTGCGATTGTTGCCTTCCCTGCCTTCCTCCTTTAATCACTACTCCTTTAGCTGATGGTGTGGGTCTGGTTTCTCTTTAATCCTTTCCTACAGCTCTGCCATGGCGCTTGCCCCATGACCCAGCCATTCCCACCGGTGTCCTCATGCCCAGCAAAGGATCATAGGGAATGATCTTCCAGGGATGTAGAGAGAACACTGCATCCTGCCCCAGACTGGTGGCCTGGTGAGCTCAAGCCTCCTGCCTTAGCTGGGCTCTGTCTTCTCGGTAGCTGGCTGATTTAAAGATTGGGTTTTGGCTATTTCCTGCTTTCCTTGAGGATGGAGTTTTGGTGGGATTTGAGGGAAGGGAATTGAAAGATCTTTACTATCCTTAGTGTGAAACCATTGTTTTCTAAAGATTAGCTTCATTATAATGAAAGGGTCATCATAATGAACCAGAAGTTCTTACACCATTAATAATAGATGTTCTACTGATAGACAGTGGAATTTATCTAGGACTCATTTAAGATTCTCTGTATTATTTCCTCACTGTTTTCTGGATTCTTCATATTTTTCTGGACTGAAATTAGTTAGTGTACTGATGTCATTCTCTCCTTTCTCACACACACGCCCCCTCCCCCGCCCCCCCAGGAGCTTGGTAGGACCATCCTCCATCAGTTACCTCTGGAATTAGGGGCAACAGAGATTGCTCTGTGTCACAGATGAAGAAGGGTTTGCTTGTTGAGAGCAACACATTCACGGGCAGCGTGGAAATGTTCTTCATGACCAAGGGCTGGTAATCAGGTTGCAAGACAGTCTGTGGTTTCTGCAAAAAAAGGAAAAAGCGGCAGCAGACTAAGTTATGACAAACAGAGTAAGGCTACAGCAGCAAACGTCTCAAATACATCTGAGCGTACACAGACACAAACACATGCGCGTATACTCTCATTCTCTTGGAGAGACTGAGCTAAATCATTTGGAATGTATGGTGGACTACTGAGAAGTGAGACTATGTAAGTCAGAAACCAGATTAGATTTCTTATTCTCCTGTTGCCTGGTTAAAAAAAACATGCCGATATAAGCCATGCCTCTGGATGGAACTATTGCTATAGAAGTTTCCACAATGTCATGAAGCAAACACTAAGAAATTAGTGCTATCTTGTACAAGAGCCCATGTATCACTATAACGAATAAAACTTTTATTCCCTTTACAGTATTGTTTCATGCTCGAAACACTCAATTGCGAATATACTTACCTTATTAAATTGACAAATGCTATAACACGTTTCTCTAATTTTTTTCTTGCTAACCCTGATTTAGAAACACCTTTTTACTCTGTTGAACATCCAATTTAATTTTTCAGCCAGAGAAAATACTGGGAATGGGTCCTGAACTGCATGTTGCTGTTCAGACTGAATTTTTCTCCTTCTGATGTTGGGGTCACATTATTTCTTGCATACTCTGGAAAGCGGGTCCTTTGATACCAGCAGAAGGTAACCTGAAGCCTCAATCCGTGGCCTCCAAACAGAACCTCCTTCTAATCCAGTGGTTCTCAACCTTCCTAATGCCGCGACCCTTTAATACAGTTCCTCATGTTGTGGTGACCCCCAACCATAAAATTATTTTCGTTGCTACTTCATAACTGTAATTTTGCTACTGTTATGAATAGTAATGTAAATATCTGATATGCTATATGTGTTTTCCAATGGCCGCGACCCACAGGTTGAGAACCGCTGTCCCTGGCTCTTCTAACAACTCTAGCCTGTTTTTCTCAGGTTTTTTTTTTTTTTTAATTTATTGTTGACGATATTACAGATGCCCCTCATTTCTTCTTCCCCTTTGCCCCCTCCATCCACCCCCACTACCTTCATACCCCTCCTGCCTTAGCTCCACTACTGTCTGTGTCCATGGTCTATGCACATATGCATATCTGTTCTTTGGTTGATTTGCTTCTTCTCCTTGTTCTGATTTCAGTTAAATCTTCCAGATTCCACATTTTCATCTGACCCCTTGTCTGCTTCTCTGACCAGCATAGTCTTCCTCCCACTGTGGTTCTTGGACCCCCCTGGCTCTGGGCGAGCTCGTGTGATCAGCATCCATTGTGCCTTAGTTCAGGTGCTATAACAAAGATAGACGGGGTGGCTTAAGTAGCAGGCATTTATGTCTCTCAGTCTGGAGACTGGGAAGTCCAAAATCAAGGTGCCAGCAGATCTGGTGTCTGGGAAGAGCCTGCTTCCTGGCTTGTAGATGGCTGTCTTCTCACTGTGTCCTTACATGCCTGACAGAGAGAGTATCTCTCGTGTCTCTTCTTATAAGGGCGCTAATTCCATTCATAAAGGCCCCACCTTCATGACCTAATCACCTCCCAAAGGCTCCACCTCTAACACCATCACCTTGTGGATTAGGGCTTCAGACTATAAATTTGGGGAGACACAGCCATTCAGTCCAGACAACTGGCTCAAGTCTCCTACCTCAGTTGTGATCCCCTAGTCTCTGTGTGGGGGTTTGGTCTGGCACTTACCCTGAGATGTCAACCGTGGTTTCCCTCCCTCTAACATGCTAATACAGGTGCTGGACTCATCCTGCACTTGCAGATCGCATTCTCCCCCAAGCAGCACTTTAGGGTCATCAAAGGCCACATGGGGAACTGTCCACCAGTGACCTTCCCCCAGGCTGCTGTGTCACTGCAGGTAGCTTTGAAGCGAAGAAGCCACACTTGTTTGGTTTCGGCAAGAGGCTGTTTAGAGGTTAGTGACGAGAAGGAGCCGATGCACAGAGAACCCGTTCTATTTTGAAATGACCCCTTCCTCTCTGGGTTGTCTGTCTCCCCAGATAGCAGGAGACAGGATTTGCTGCTGGACTTCGTGGAGCAAACTGGCTGCTGGTTTCGATGGACCTTTTTCAATTCCACAAAGATGTGGTTTGATCTCTGCGGCTTATGAATGGTACAATGGTTAGAAAGTAGATCATATCTGAGGAAACGGTCCTAGAAAAATTCTCCCCATAGGCAGTGTGGGCGTCATTATAGTCTAATGTACTAAGTCAGATACGCTGCCTTGAGCTGAAAATAGGAGACAGACTAGATAATAGGGTGTTACATAAGTACATCTGAATACTGAGCCCTAGCAGGTCTCTTGCACACGCTGGGTAATGAAGTTGCAATTCTTCATTGTCCCTGGTGTGGATTAAATGTGAGCAGGAAATGAACAATGAAGAATAACAGTAGTTGGACAGATTTCAAACTTGTGATATTTGGGTGGAAGGAGAGAAGGGTAAAATCAAACAGGGAGCTGTGACTCAAATCCTTTTTGTAATTCAATAAGTCACTGCCATATTTAAAGTATTTGCTACTTTATTCAAGTGATAAAGTCAAACAATAGACAGTTAAACAAGAATATGCTTTTAAAAAAAACACACCAAGGCTTCAGGATATAAAGAGGAGAAAAGGAACATGATCCACACATTTTTATGAGTGTTTATGGGCTTAGAAAAAATCTAATAAGAAACAAAGTTGCATGTCTAACATATATTACGTCTTATGCAGAATAGCTATTCAATAAATAGTCACTGAATTTTCACTCAATAGCTACATTCAGAGAAAATATAATGCCACCAGATTTGGTGCAAATGCCACCAACAAATATCTTTCCTGATTAGTTATAAAAGGAAGAATTTAAAACAGAGCAATGAAAGCTCAATAACTGCAGCAGAAACTCTTGTAGTATTTTCTTTTTATATGTCTCACGGAGCTCATCACAGTTAGCGTAGCATCCTGTAACTGAAACCCTTATTCTACTTCCTCAGTGTCTACTCTCCCCAGTAGTCTGTTAAGCCCGGGATTTTGCTGTCTTTGCTGCCTCATACACTGTAAATGCCCCAAAATTATTTGTTGATTTGAACTTGTACATCTCCCCTCCTTTCCTCAATCATACGCCCATTATTCATCTCCAACGGAGAGCCATGCCCTTGGTGGGTGCTCAATAGATATTTATTGAATACAAACAAAATATGATGGAACCCACTCCCAGAATCAATGGTCTTGCCCATTCTCCTGCAGGCCTCCAGGGAATGAAAGGGACCCTGGTTGATCCCCTCCCTGACTGAACAGGCACTGCCACACCCAGTCCTTTCATACGACAGCAGAGACCACACTGTGGGACAATGTACTTAATGCTTGATCTTCCCAGTTGGCTGTGTAGTTCATCGGGGAGGGACTAGCCTCACTGTTGTACCCCTAGCAGCTGACTCAGTGCTCGGCACATAGTAGGACTTAATAAATATTCCACTCAGCAGCCAGTGTGACTGTTTCAGACTAAATCTGACCATGTCACTCCCCTTCCTGAAGCCCGCCAATGGCCTCCAAGAACATGCCTCCCAGTCATGCCACACTCATGGGCCCTTGCCCACTTTTCTTGATGGACCTCCTGTTCCTCTTGGCATGTTCTCTGTCTAAGGCGGCCTTTCAGTTCTTCATGCTCACCAAGGTCTTCCCTGACTCGGGCCCTTCCTGTGTGCTGTTCCTTCTGCCTAATTCTCTCCCCGTCTCTTGTCACCAGACTAACTTCAATTTCTCTTCAAGTCTCAACCTGAGGCACTTGCTCAAGGAAGCCACCTGTCACCACAGGTACAAATAAAGCCACTCTCCTGATAGGTGCTCTCATAGCAACTACACCTCTTCTTCACAGCACTGCTTAGAATTGTGATTTAAATGACTAAGTGTTAACAATTGGGCTACAGTTGTAACCTCCACCAGTCTCTTAGCTCTGACTGTGTCACCCTGGTTCACCAGGTCGTCAGCATTAACTCACTCTCCGGCTCAGAAGAGACTTTCCACACATACCTGCTCTGAATCTTAAAAATCCTACAATGGAAGTCTGCTGAAGAGGAGGTCAAGTTCTACTGTGATGCCTCCCTCATCTCCTCACTGTCCTGCCCCCTGCCCTGAGCAGCAGTCATCCCCAACACTCCCCTGTCCTTAATCCCCATTTATTGTTCACCCTTGATGGCCATATAGTCATGGGCATTTAGAGCCATGTACTTAAACATGTGAGTCATAGTTTAAGTGGGTTATTCTCAGTGCTGGGTGAACCGCATAATAATTTGTATCTCGGTCTCCTCCTATGTGTCATGGGAATGATAACAGAAGCCACAACACGGACTGCTATGAGGGACAACTGGGCAAATGTATGTAATGAATAGAGCTCAGTGCCCAGCACAAACTAATCAATAAGGTGTAGCTATTCTTTCTGATGATTATGATTATCAATAATTCCAGTCTAATCCTTTCTATGCTGTGATGTTTATTTTTTCTAATTACAGTAAAATGATTGACCACAGTGCATTTTCAGTGCACTGGAATAAATACCCCTTCACTTTGGCCTTGTACATCAGGGATGATGGAAGCAGAATTTCTGTCGCAATTTACATTTCGGAGGAATCAGGTTTAGATTCGGAATTTTTAGAGGAAGGTGGATGGGCCTCTGAAGCTTAGGAAACATCGGTGGGTGTGGGTTCACCAGGCTTCCTGTTAACTTAGCTTCTCCAGTGAACAAGTGAACTTGCTGACCCTCAGTTGGAGCGCCCAACCCTCCCCAGCACAGCCCACTGACCTTCTCCAGTCGGTACACGAGCTTCTTGGTGGAGAGCTGGATGAGCGGCGCTATGAACTCGCACATGACATCCACAGTCATCACCAGGCTCCGCTCCCGCTGGGCCCCGATGATGGCGTGGCACACCAGCTTCTCCCTGACCATCTGCAGGTGAGAAAGGCCGGCCCTGAGAGAACATCCATAGCTCAGAAAACTTAATTCCACACAATCAGCAAACTGACGCTCAATCACCTGCTGCGGACACCAGGGAAGAACATGTGTCTCTGAACAGTGCACTTCAGGTGTCGCTCTCTGTCTCACACTTAAATGTCTGATGGGGTTACATATGTCCTGGGCGGATCCTGCGCCCATTTTGGACTGCTCTCGAGGACACAACACAAATCAATTTACATTCAGTTTAACGAATACCTGTGTGGAAGGTGTATTATGCATGGACTGTCAGGGATTGGACATACCAACCAGTATGGGCAGGGCAGATAAAATCCTATGGGCTTCGCCCTAACCGGTTTGGCTCAGTGGATAGAGTGTCGGCCTGTGGACTGAAAGGTCCCAGGTTCGATTCTGGTCAAGGGCATGTACCTTGGTTGCGGGCACATCCCCAGTAGGTGTGCAAGAGGCAGCTGATCGATGTTTCTCTCTCATCGATGTTTCTAACTCTCTATCTCTCTCCCTTCCTCTCTGTAAAAAAATCAATAAAATATATTTTTAAAAAATCCTATAGGCTTAGAGTTCAATGGTAGTTCTATTTCTTATCAAGCTAGTCAGAAGCTGTGGCTGGAACATTTTGCCATTTCCTACTTGGATATTTAAAAAAATCGTGCTATAGAAACTAGTATTTCTTTACTCCCCTATCCCCCCGAGGTCCAGATTTGTATGAAGTACAAAGAACCCAAAGTGAATTTATATCATGAACAGCTTGCATTGAAGCGTGCTCAGGTTTCAGATGTGAATGGATTTAGAACCCTCGCAGCTCAGGCTGAAGGCCTTTGAAACTATGGCCAGCTCCCAATCATGACGTTGTGAATGTGCTCCTGTCGGGATCTTGAAAGGAGAGCTGCGTTCTAGTCACCTTTGCGTCCTTGGTGCCTAGCGCAGTTTGCCACATGGTGCACACGCAGTAGAAGGTGGCTGAACCCCTGAAGAGCAGAAACAAAGACCACCTTATACACTCACTCCACAGGGAAGCAATGGACAAGCTTTGCTATCCTGTCTGCTGGAAGGCGAATTTCTTATTGTTTCCCATTTCCTGAGGAAAAAGCTCAGCATCACTCCTAATTTGGTGACACCAGGCGGAGCTCAAGCAACCATCAGTCCTCATTCACAACGTCTGCATTTGTGAGGTAGGGAGGCTCACGAGCAATTACAAAGGGTTGTTTTTTTTTAGGTTTCTGGTGGTTTCCAGTCTCTGTGAGGAAGTAGGAACAGAGACGTGGTTTGGATCTGCATAAATGTTTAAGCAGGGTGCGGTGATGTAAATAAGAACATCAGAGCTGCCGAAGATACACCCAGCTCTTTCATTGACCCATAAAAAGATGATGATTATAAATGTGATGCTGTTATGTCAGACTGAGAGGAGAGAAGCCTGGGGTGTCCCAATACCTGGAGAGAATCGTTAGCCCAGAGTGTCTACAGACACACCCTTTGGGATACCTATGAACACGGCTAAGTGTTTCCGGGAGGCTTGGCTTGGGCTGAATGCTGGCTCTCCCTCTCCCAGAGACTTGCTGGCTGGTCACTGCTGACCCTGGAGATGAGAAGCTGCTTTAATTAGTGTTTTAAGGATGGGTTCATGGCAGCTGCAGAAGCAAACATAAAACTGAGCAGAGCTGAACCGTCACAGCGACGGGTGCTGCCATGGTAACTCCGGGCCGTGTGCAATCCTTAAGAAACCACATCCTTTCTTCAGATAAATGTCAAGGAACTCGCCTAAGAAATAGAGCAAAGATTTATTTAGGAGAAAGGCAGGTTCTAAACATGCTGTCCCCGTACCCTGGGAGTAGAAGAATAGCCATCAAGTGTCACATCGATCGTCTGGTCTGGATACAACTCCATCCTGAAGGGTTGAAGCTGAAACACGGGGCTCTGGGAACGCCTGGCTGCCTGGGCGCGAGGGCGCTTAGCGAGTCTCCTCTTAGGCGCACCTTTCTTGTTCTTGGGTTGGAACTTTTCATTCATCCAGAACAACTGTTGGACCCGACGTCCCTTGTTGGTCAACCTGAAGTGGTAGTAACAGGTGTCCAGGCTGGAAAAGAGGAGGTGGGTATGGAGAGGACTCAACTTTGGGATGGATGTTCAGCTCTACATCTTTGGGACTGACTCCTCTGGAAGTATTTTTTTTAAATTATTTGATATTCTTAAATATTGTGAAATAATCACCATAAGTCTAGTTAATATCCATTATCATACATAGTTACAGATTCTTTTTCTTGTGATGAGAACCTGCACGATTTACTCTTTTTTTTTTTAAAGTGAGCAATAATAGACAATTTTTTAAATATAGGAAGGCTGCATCATGGTAGTACTAGGACAGTAATGGCGAACCTATGACACACGTGTCAGAGGTGACACGCGAACTCATTTTTTTGGTTGATTTTTCTTTGTTAAATGGCATTTAAATATATAAAATAAATATCAAAAATATAAGTCTTTGTTTTACTAAGACTTGCAAATATCAAAAAATTTCTATATGTGACACAGCACCAGAGTTAAGTTAGGGTTTTTCAAAATGCTGACACGCCGATCTCAAAAGGTTCGCCACCACTGTACTAAAAGCTACCACGGTAATGGGAAAAAGTAGCAGCTACTCATGGCCTCCATAAACTCAAGTCAGGGGCCTGGGTGTGGCCCTTGAGTTGTCATCACCAGGGAAGGGGTCGTGGAAAAGTGGGCCCACCCACCCTCTGCCTTTCCCAGCAGGTCAAGCATGCCGCAGAATACACGGACACAGTTCACATGAAAACTGCTCTAATTTATGACAAATGGCTCTGAGGAGTATTTTAGGAAAGGAAAAGCAAAATGCCTATTGGGGGAGAAGTGTATTTCAAATTGTGTGGAGTAAATTCCTACGGACTGAGGGAAATGTCTTGTGATGGGCTCAGTTTGAAGGGTACTTCAAGAGAAAGGACCAACTTATTCACAGTACATCTTTCAATCATCACAGCAACCCAGTAATACCAAGTATATTTGCTCATTTTCTAAATGAAGAAATGGAAGCTCTGAAAATGTCAGGAAGTTGCCCCAAAACATGCAATTAAAAGAGATGGCATATGGGGTTTTCTTAGACCTGTATGTTCCCAAATTGGCAAACTTATCTGGTAAAGGCTGAATAATAAATATTTTGGATTTTGGGGGCCACATGGTCACTGTTACAGCTACTCAATTGTCCACTGTAGTGTGAAAGCAGACATAGAAAATATGTGTACACAAATGGGCATGGCTGTATTCCAATAAAACTTTATTTACAGCCTGGCCGGTGTGGCTAAGTGGTTGAGTGTCAACCTAAGAACCAGGAGGTCATGGTTTGATTCCCGGTCAGGGCATATGCCTGAGTTGTGGGCTTGATCCCCAGTGTGGGGCATGCAGAAGGCAGCCAATCAATGATTTTCTCTCTTCACTGATGTTTCTATCTCTCTCTCTCCCTCTTCCTTCCTCTCTGAAATCAGTAAAAATAGATTTGAAAAAACCTTTATTTACAGAACCAGCCCACCTCTTCTTTTCCCCTTTTTAAAAAATGTAATTTAACGTTTCCATCACCTTTTATCCTCTCTTTGCCATCTACCACCCTCTGTGTCCTCTGCTTTTGACAATTCTTTTGGAGATTACTGGCATCATGATTTCATGTCAAAAAGAATGGTAGGGTTTAGGCAGAGGGGAAATTGACAGCTAAAAAGCCACAATTTGCTTCTGTATTCATAGAGAACTATAGGCTAAACCTCCCAATTCCAGGCGAGTGACAGAATATCCTTTGGGGTTATTTGACCCTGTTTGCAGATTACAGAGAACATCATGTCATCAAGTTTGGTTCGCAGCGTACTGCTTCTATAATTATGCTTGCGTATACTTAGAGAAACTTGGAAATAGAAGCATGCTCTAGCTCATGGTCAACAGGCAGGCAGGGCGGAGCATTTCTCTATCAAGTGAACACAAAACTCATGGATGCTCCTCGGAAGGCATCATTCCTAGTGGCTCATGCTATTTTCAATCAGGTCATGGTTTGTAGACAGAAGAGAGGAAAAGGGGGTGTGAATGGGTTTGTGGGGAGGGCTCCTGATTTCTTTTTTCAGGCTCATCTTCTCTAGGCACATGTGTTCATCTTGGTTGCGGGGCCTGTTGGACTAGAGGTCTGTTCACAATATCACGATGGACAGGTACACATTCCTCTGGCCCCCGCAGCGGGGGAGCCACGCATGAATCCCCACACATATCCTCCTGTCAGCATTCAGACTTCATACATTTTTAGAGCCAATGTAGATCATTCTGCTCAGAGGGGTCTATAGTCTACCACCTTTTATTTAAATGTTTAGATGTTCTAGTTTTCTTGTTTTGTTTTTTTCCAAAATGATCAGGTAGAGCCAATTACGGCCCTCTTGATTGTTGGTGCTATGGTGGGGAGGCAAGCAGGCGACAAAAATACCAAAAAAGTTACTGCTTTGCAATTCCTGATAAGAAACATTTACAGTAAATTTTTACCTTCCTAGTTATACTCTACTTAGGTTACCATTAAGCTGCAACTGTATTATGGACCTACACGGAGAGGGATTAAGAGCGTATTGGAATAAAAGAGGGGAAATCATGGTGGAGATTCTAAACTGGTCACTGAGAAGGCACTGTAAGTGTGAGAGCCATCTCTTCGCTAGCGTGGACGGACTCAGCTTGAGAATGCAACCAAGCTGTGACTAGGGGGGTGTCTTCTGATGGCTGACACACCCATCTGGAGGGGGACAGTGAAGATAGGAAAGTGGAAGGACTGAGGTGAGTGCAATTTACTGAAAAGCCATTTTTAAAAATAGAGGTGATGCTCAGCTTATGCAACATGGGCGATACCTATGACAATTCACCCAGGAGATTTCCCTACCTAAAATGTGCTCCCAAGTTGAGTTCTGGAGCAAAGGGCTTATCCGAAACAATGGTGGAACCAATTCCTTCGGCCTGGACAGAAATCCGGTAGGTTTTGCTGTTTATAATATCTAAAATGACCGTGTCTTTGAACATCAGTATGTCATTCAGGTTGGCGGTCAGCGTCAGTTGAATGTCATCTTCGGGGGGAACGGTGCCTTCGCTGGGTTCCACTGTCCAAAGGGACTTTTTGTGAGCCTGCAACACAAGACACACGGTAACCGTGAAGCTATTCCTGGCTTTCCCTCCCGCAGGCGTCAGAGCCGTCTGCACCTCAAGCGGCCGGCACTGTGGAACTCAACATCAGAGACAAACATTATTTTTTTTTCTCCAAATCACAGCAGCTGGATGTTTGTTGGCTTCTCTTTCTGCAAAAAGCAATCTGATTCTGAAGAGCAAACCTACAATTCCGCCTCTGAGCGCTCAGCGAGGATCCCTTACATTTCTTTCGCTAGATGACAGCCCAGCTCTCTGACAAGCGGGTACTAATTACCTGTTTTAATCACCAAATTCTGAGATACCCGCAGAAGGTACAACATCCTTTCTGGAATATGGAATTTTCCAGGGACATGTTTTTCAAATGCAAGGGTGTTGAGGATGTTATTAGTGAGCGGGAACCGCTTTCGTTAATAAACACAGTATAGGAAGTCGTCTCCATTTCTATTATTCCATAATAATAAGTAGAAGTTCATGTGCTAAAATTCCAAACTTATTCTGAAATATATAATAGGAGGTGAACATTATAGAGGGGAAGCTGACTCTCACTGATCTGTTCCCTTTAATTGATTAGATCCTCAGAGCCCACTCCCTTTCCTCCTGAGGAGTTTTGGCCAAACACTGCCTCTCAATGAAGTCTGCTCTGACCATCGCCTTTTAAGTGGAAAACCTTCCCTCCGCACTCCTGATCCCCTTTACCCAGGACTATTCCCCCCCCCTTAGTACTTACCATCTTCTAACATGTGCAGACTTAACTTATCTATCATGCTTGTCTGGCTTGAAAGTCTATATGGACACTACTAAATAGATTGTATTTAAAAATGTAAATAAGTTCAATGAAACAAAGGAGAGCAGTTCTCAAGATGATACATTGTTTATAATGAGGATGTAGATGAAATTTTACTTTAATTTTGGTATTAATGGAAATGATAGATTTAATTCTCTGTCAAGAGTCCTATCATTACTCCTGATCTTTTAATATGGGGCATCTCTAGAAACATAGATATAAGAGAAAACAGCATTAAATACTACACTAGATAAACTAGGGCTGAGATGGGATATTTGTATGATAATTAGATCTATTCCAAAAATATTTATGGGGAAAAATGTTGATTTTTGTACCACTCAATGTTTTTCTAAAATTTTTTAACTTTCTACTCATAGTAAATTAGCCCTGATAAAGTACTAAAATAAGAAAACAGAAAGCAAAGTCTGTCTTTCCAGAACATTATGCTGCGTTTGTTTATAATTTTATCTTAAAATATTAGTAACAAGCCCTGGCCAGTGTGTCTCAGTGGTTAGAATGTCAGCCTATGTACTGAAGGGTCATGGGTTCGATTCCTTGTCAAGGTCACGTATTTGGGTTCCAGCCCCAGCCCTGGTTGGGGCGAGTGTGGTAGGCAACCAATTGATGTGCCTCTCTCATATCAATGTTTTTCTCTCTCTCTCTCCTCTCCTCCCTTCTACTCTCTCTAAAATAAAAAATAAAAAAAATAAAATAAAAAAATCAATGGAAAAAATATCCTCAGGTGAGGATTAACAAAACATTAGTCACAAAAAGATAATAATCCTTATAAGTTTACTTTTCAGGATTATAAATTGATTATTATTGGCAAGAGAAACTACAAGGGTTGGATGTCACTATATTCTGCTTATATTTAGGTTCAAAGAAATAATTTCTAAGGCATATTCTTAATTTACCCCCCCTCCCCAGTTTTTTTAACAGTCTATCTTAGTCCATTCACAGCAATGTGAGCCTTTTTTAACATGCACTTAAAACCTCTTACAGCTGCCCTGGACAGTGGCTCAGTTGGTTGGAGCATTATTCCATACACCAAGAAGGTTGTGGCTTCGATTCCTGGTCAGGGCACATGCCTAGGTTGTGGGTGTGTATGGGAGGCAACCGATCAATGTTTCTCTCTCTCTCTCTCTCTCTCTCTCTCTCTATATATATATATATATATCCTCGGGTGAGGATAAAAAAAAAACACCCAAAAACTCTTACAGCTTCTACCCATTACCTAGTCCAAAGCCACCTCACATTTTAGGCATCTGTTACACCAGCACCCCACTCTCAGTACCAATTTCTCTATTAGTCTGGGCTGCTATAACAAAGTGCCATGGACTGGGTGGCTTAGAAACGACAGAAATTCACTTCCTGTTCCCGAGGTTGGCAGTGTGAGACCAGGGAGCCGGCATCGGGGAGTTCCGGTGAAAGCCCCCTCCTGGGTGAGGACTGCCGACTCCTCATTGTACCCCTGCATAGAGAAGAGCTGAGCAGAGGAAGCCAGCTCCCTTACAAAGACTCTCAGAATCCCCTCTCCAACCCTAATTTCCTCCGAAAGGCCTTAACTCCTAATACCACTGAGGGGTTTGGGCTCAACATACGAATTTGGGGGGAACACAACCATTCCATCCATAACATTCACCTTCAGTCCCTCCAAATTCATGTTTTTCTCATGTGGAAAATACGATCTCCAATCGGGAAGAGGAATCTAACCAGAATTCAACTATGCTGAGACCCTGATCTCAAACTTCCAGCCTCAGAAACTGTGAAAAAGAAATTTCTCTCATTTGTAAGCCACCCAGTCTATGGTACTTTGTTACAGCAGCCTGAACTAAGACACAATCCCAAAGTGAAAACCTTAAAAACCTCTAACATATTAATCATAGAAAATGACACAAAATGAGTTCTAAAACAGCCATAAATGCAAATTAACTTTTCTGCCAATATTTTAAAAAATATATTAAAAATTTTTTCCCCCATAAACATTTATCCTCCCTATACCCTCCTCCGCCTTCACCCACACTGTCCTCCTCCTCCCACCCCCAGCAATCACCACCCAGTTGTCCGTGTCCATTAGTTCTTTCTCTTTTTTTTCTCTCTTAATCCTCCATCCCAGCCCCTTGCGGCCCCACTCCCACCCCAGAGCTGCCAGCCTGCTCTCTATCTATGAGTCTGTCTCTATTTTCTGCAGATATTTTTTAATGGATCAATGTAGCTTCATTTTGTCAGCATGTTTATCAGAGTAGATAAGTTTTTAACTCACACCATTTACATGACTTAAAGCAATACATGGAACCAGCCTTTCTCCCTGCTTAGAACTATTTGCCTTTCTTACTTTCAGCTTCTAGATTCTAGGCTACTATTTCAGATAAAGTTATCCTAGCTGCTGTAACAACAACAAAAAACCTGATGCTCAATGGCTTAATACAACAAAAACTCACTTCCGGTTCACATGAATTCCAAATGGTTACAGGCATGAGAATGGGCTCTGGTTCCATTCAGTCATTCAAGGACCCCAGCTAAACAGATTCTGGCATGTTTAATGTGTGGCTCTAAGCCACTCTGGACATTGACATTCAGTCGGCCAACAGAGAAGGAAGAGAATGGGGGGGGGGGGGGTCACATGCTAAGATTTTATGCACTAAGCCTGGAAATGGTACACAACACTTCTTCCCACTTGCACTGTCCAGAGCTCAGTCATGCAGACACACCTAACTGCACAGGAATCTGGGAAATGTCTTGCTCTGGGTCCAAGAGTGAAGGGAGGTGGGCATAGGGAACTGCTAACTTCTCTCTGCCAAAGCTACCTTGTTGGTTTCGTATATTGCCATAGCCTTAGGGTCTTCCCCTAACTCCTCTGGACCTCAGATTTTGAAAGGTGAAGAGTTCACTCCAATCAGGTAACTGAAGTGGGGGCGTAACTTGGTATTTGCACTCCTATGGGAACTCTAGGGCTGGAGCCCAGATCCATTTCCTGTTGGGACAACCAGAGGGGCAGCTCGGGGAGAAAATAAGAATGTTCTAGGCAAGACAGTCTCACACTGTTGGCCTTTCTTCCCAAACCTGTGGCCTTAGAGCACTCTGTGTAGTTTCGCGCATTTATGAGACTCAGCTTACAGTTAAAACATAAATCAATGCCATGTTTGTCCTCTTATCGAAAAGCAAATGCCTTTCAGGAGAGGGTGCTGTCAATGTCACCTTTCCCATTCCACCTATTTGTTTTCTTCCTCGAGACAGTGGCACAGGCCAGTCCTTGGGTACAATGAGGAGAGGGTGTCGCCTGCATAAGTGCTATTTCCAGCCAGGGGACATTCGTTTTCGGTAGACGCATAGCATTTCTATTCTGATTCCTGCAGACGCAGACTGGCTGCTCTGGGGAGAAGACCTGAAGTTGCTCTCCAGGGCCGAATTGGTGAGTCTTCTTTTTGAGGAAGTGTATCAATCAATGTCTGGCATAAAACAAGGCAGCAAAGTATATCACAGAATCCAAGAACAAGGCACATTAAAACGCCAGCTGCCAACACGCTGGATTATCCTTATCCAGAGTCAGGCTCCAAATCACCCTAACGCCCTGCGTCTCTCTGGCATTTGACTTTGTTTTGAGGGAGGATTTGGTCTATGTAACATTTTCTGTTATTAGATGGCAAATTTGACTAGAGAAGGAATGGATGAATGATAATCAGCGCAGCTATGGAGGATATTCAATAGCCTTTTCAAAACCACAATAGAGCAAGACAACAAGTGCCGGGAACAGGCTAGGAAGGAGGGCTCCAAAGGAAAAGAGATGTGGGTGTGAGTCCCAGATCTGCCACTTTCCAGCTGTCGAACGTGGGCCACGTCACTTCGCCATGCCCAGCCTCTGTTGCCTCAGCAGCAGCCCATGATACTGACTGCACCTTTTGCACAGAGCTGTGGTGATGGTTCAATGAGGTGATGCATGTAAAACTCAGAATGATGTCTGGCACACAATTAAGTTCTCATAAAAATGACAGCTACTGTCATCATTTTACCAAAAGCTGTCATCACCCCATGTGACACATAATTATGGACTCAGCAGTATTTGCTTAAAAAAAAAAAAGATTAAAATAGGTGCCAGGAAAGCATGTAACATACAATCCTCTTGGCAGAAGAGAAGCATCTCATTGGGTTCATGGCAGGCAGCATTCTGAGACGGCCCACAAGATCGCCATCTCCT